CAATGATAACTGAGATTATAACAAGTCTTAGTTTTACTAATTCAAAAGTAGTATTATTAACATAGGTAAGAGATTGTTTTTAACTAGGACAATCAACTTGTCATTTAGACTGAACAACATACTGACTCCAGGGATTTCTTGTTTAGCTAATGAACTGAGGAACAATTCTAACTTAATTTGGGACAGAAGATCTACATCAACATTATTGAAGATTTAGGGCCAGACTGGATTTCAGTTGTGCAGCATGTGTCATCACATACCATGATTTGTTAGAACTGAAGTCAGCTAGCTACTTACTGTGTTTGTGCAGACATGCACAATAGCCAGTTCCATAAGAAACACCCAGCATGCCCCACATCTCAAAGATTAGTCTTTAGTCCCAATTTTCAATTCTGATCCTTACCTCACTGTGTTCAAATACTGTAGTCCTTACTGAGACAAAACTCCCTTTGAAATCAATAGGAGTTTTTCCCCCACACCCAAGTATGAAATAAGTACTGTAGAATTTAGTCCTCTGAGGTAGAAGAAACACAATTGGAAAATGAAAATCTTCTCATGGTCAGTTACAGTGTCTCTCTTAATATGGCTGTTCACTTGAACAGCAAGTTATCTGGGCTGAGGAAATAAAATAGGAAAGAAGATGGCATGGAACTGAAGCGTTCACTACAATAGAACCCCTTCTTTGTTCAGGAACTCATGTTAATTCACTATATTTTTAGTACTGTGCTTAACCTATACAATTAGACAAAGGTTTTCAAAACTAATTGATTCCTTGACATAATCAAGCAAAGATGGGGAAACAAATGTTCTTGATGGATTATTTAGAAAGCACCACACTGCTTACATGTAAATAAGTATGGACATTAAATTCACTACATTTTAACACATCTATCATATATGCAGTCCTACAGCTCTGTCAAAGTCTTATAATTAATACTTCTATATATTTTAAAAGTAAAACTGCTTTTATCTTTCCATACACAGCAAAATGAGCAGCTCTCTTTTACAACATGAAATATTCCACTATATGCAATAAGCTCTTTACCTATACATAATCTCTCTCCTTCAACTCAAACGTCTCTCTTGTGAAGTAAAAACACACTGCTAGTTAATAGAAGTAAATCCTAGCTGTAAGAAAAAGAAGGGCATTGCAATGGAGCTGTGCCATACAAATGCCATCATCATACAGCAACATTACATTATTGAGGACCCTTTCTCTCTCTTTAATGCCACGACTACTATAGTTTTTAAACTGTACTTTTATAAAACTCATCTGAAGCACACAATTTATTTTTGCTTTTACCCAAAAGAAGTACAAGCCAATAGTAGAAAAATTTCCAGTTGCTATGGTAGTGAACCAACATGCAACAGAAAAAATATTAAAAATTTGGTGTAATAAAAATTAACCTACCCAATATGATCAGGGAACCAACTGCTTCTCCTTTGTAAATAATCTTGGTATTTATATAGCAATAGAAAATTTAGCCTGTGATAACATTCGATTCCACTGACATGCTTTTAAATATTGTGCCTCTACTTTAACAAGCATCTTCCCATTTATCAGAATCAATAAATTCTGCACATTGCAGGATAGCTCCAAATTATTTTATAAGTCAGGTTATCGGTGCCTTGAAGCATAAATGATCCAAAAACTAATCATTGCATTATTTGAGTTATTACATAATTTGTATTGAAATAATATACCACCGCTATTTTAAAAACCTTTTTTATGCCGACTACATCATAAAGTCTGAACGTAATCACACAAATGGTCCTGTGGTTTTCAATGGGTCTACTCTTGAGTAAAGGGGTAGCAGCAAGCCAAAAGCACTACAAGAAACCAAGTCATTGAAAGCAACAGCATAATACATTTTACAATAGATAAATTATTCCATCATAAGGAGAACAATAGAGGAACAAATGTTAAGGGTAAGCTAGGTTTTAAGGGGAGATTTGATTTAAAATAGTGAGAATGTGCCTTTGAAATGGAGAGGAGTAGATGCTGTGGATGGCAGCAACTGCTGAAAAGACAATACCCAACAGCACCAGTGTGTGTGAAAGGACATCAAGGAGGTGAGTGCTAAAACGAGGGAGATTGAAAAGAAAAAGGGTTTATAAGGTAAACTGGAGGGACCCCACTGAACGTTTTAAACAAACAAAAAGCTACACTCTGCTCATAACTCAATCTTCACATTAAACCAGTGTAACTTTGGGGTACACACTTCTCTCTATTTGTACATGCAGCTCCCATTGCAAGAATGAAGGTTAAATACACACTGCCTGGACACACCTTTGCTTTTTAAGTTGCCCTATAGTTACTAGTTATAGTGCCAACGACGCGTCAAAAGACAACATGCAATAACAAAGCTGCACACAAAGCTTTGATATTTTATCTATTGTAAGATATTTGTGTAAACATATCATTTTCAGAAAGGTCTAGTTTCACAACAGAGTTTTCTTGACAATAATCCTTTGTAATGCTCCAAATTAAACTGCAATAAGTAACTTTGTAGTAGCACACATTATATACCCAATTAAACCTATGATACCATATCCAATTATTACTATCTTCAGAACAATATGACAGATCTGCAAATAGTCTTAACTTCTGGTGCTAGTTATTATCATACATATTAAACCAACTATTTTCATCCTGATTCCATGGAAGCAAATATACTGATGTCACCTATCAAAAACCTAAGGAATAATGTTATAAGCAACCAATGAAATGACACACTGCTTTATCTGTGCTGTATACCTACTTCCCTCCTCCAAATCCTGGGATTTGATTTGTCTGACAAGCTACCAAATGTTTCTCTCTGATAAATTGTTCAAGGTGTTTAATCCATTAATATTGACTACCCATCCAGATGAGGAAAAGATCATTTCATATATCAAGAGAGGCAAAGTTGGAAAAATATTACTTCAGAATGTAGTTTTATTTAAGGATATTTATGTTCATATTTTGAAATGCAAATTTGTGTTTTAACGGTCATAAAGGCTTAACTTTTTGAATCTTAGCATCTAGTGTTATTGTCTGACTCCACCAAAATGCCACACAATTGTGAAAATTTAAATCAATAAATTTTTAAGATGCTTACCAAAATGCCACACAATTGTGAAAATTTAAATCAAGAAATTTTTAAGATGCTTAAAAACAAACAATGATATCAACTGAAAATTATACTAAAAGAAGTAAATCTTCCAAGCTTTGTTTTTACAGAAAGTGATCAATAAAAGATTGGAATAGTGATAGAAAGAGAGCGGGACATCTGATTGGAAGCAAAAGCATTACAATGAAATATTTTAGATATGGTGAACACAATCTGTAGTTAAATCAAACTTTAATAAGATAAATTAATTTTTTTTGCAAAAAACTTGTTGAACACTTCTCCATCCACTAAGTGGCAGTCACATGGGACACAGAAGAACAAACTCTTGTTTGAGTACTACAAATAAACTTGAAGTGTTTTTAATATCCTGAAACTAATCTTCCACACTGTCACTTATAAGGTCTGAAATGACTAGGAGATTTTTGACATGTCAAAATGAACCCTGGAAGTGGAAGACCTGTTCAGCACAGACTGACTTGACAACTAACTGTTCCCAATAAACAGAAAATGGTCTCTTATAATAGGAGTCATGTGTAATTACAATATGACAAGTCCTCTCCAGGCCTATGTAAGCTGGCACTTTTCCCAGCACTTGTCACATCATGAAAAGCACATACAAATAAAAATCCAAAATAAACACTTTAAAACAATGGTTTAAATAGCTGCATAACGTAACTTTGCAGCCCAGCTACTCAACAAAACAACCATACATCTTTTACTTGCCAAGTACTAAAAATATGACAATTAAACTAGCTCTACACCACACCTAGCAACAATCCCCACGTCTGGGCTACAGAGTCAAGTTCCCTCAGGCTGGACAGAAAGTCATTAGCATGGGGAATAAAGGCAGAGAGTGTCACAAAACACCACTACAGTGTAAGTATAGCTCTAAGGTATGAAAAGCACTTTATACCATTGATTTCAGTGTAACATTTAAAGTATACGGATAAAATTACCTAAACTGTATAGACTCCTTTCACAGCTCTCAGTCCTTCAAGATTCTTAGAAAAATTATTGAAAGCAATATTAATTTGCATTTTTCTGCATATCAGTCCCTAACAAATAAGAACAAAGATGGGAAATTGCAAGAAAATCCATGGTTTTTACAGGTAATTTCTGCACTGACAGTATAGCATATACGTATGAAAGTATTCAAAATTGTATTATTCACAGTACTGGACAATACTTAGGACCTTATAGAGTACACTGCATGACTATTTTAGGGACATGAATATAAGTTAGATTGTGTGATGGGGTAAAGGGAACTGTTAATTTGTTCCCAGGGAAGAGAGCAATCTAAATACTATTTGCTACTAAATACCAAACCTACTAACTCAGTGTAAAAATAAGAAACTCATAGTTTAATGTTTGGTAAGTGAAAAGCATTTACACAATTATACACATTAACAAAGCAAGAGCTGTGCTATCTCTGAATTCAACAATGATTGTTTTCCTCTCTTTATGTTCAATAATTCCCACATAGTTCTAAGCAGAATGGATTTATTATGATGTTGTTCTAAGGAACTACAGGAGTTCTAGATGCTAATAAAGATTACAGATCAAATGGGAGATAACTACTAACTACTGTGTCTACTTAGAAAAATAAACCTGCACACAAACAAAGCACCTTATTATATTTGTACTGATACCTCCACTAATCCAACTAAAGCAGCCAGCAGCTTTGAGAGCAAAAGAATCAAAACTGAAAACAGAAGATTTCCATTCATGAAATCAAATAATACCTCCCTCCCTCTTTTTTAAAAGGTCCTATACTAGTTAAAAAGTAAGAATAGCGATAAGGCAAACAAGAACAGAAACCCAAAAGATAGCATAACTAGTAAAAACAGAAGTCAAACCATATTAAGTCATATCCATCCCCAAACTCACCAGCAAGGCATATTGATACTGTCCTCCAGCCCATATACTTACTACACTGAACAGAAATGTAGTAGATCTAGCAACAGGATGCAACATGTAGCACAAAATATGCCACTCTATCCTGTCGATGTACAGGGTAGGGTCTGAGAGATTCTGACGTCATTCAAAAGTGAAATAAGGCATGAGGATGCTGCCCAAGATAAGCTCTAGCGCAAGTTTTTCCCCAATGCAGTCACAGGCGGCAGAGATTAAAGATGATTGCTGCAGCAACTCAAAGTCATTACAAGACAAGGTGGGGAAGAAAACAAAAATAAACCACTTGGATACAATAATGCCCAGACGCCAATGCCTTTAGCATGAGAGCAAATAGAAAGCTGCTTTTGTGGCCCCACCTGAACATCATGCAACAAATCTATCAGCTGCTTAACTGCCAGCTCAACCAGAGGAACTGGGGAGTTCTCGTTTCGGAGGAGGAAAATAGAGTACACCTGGGGGCCCTTGCATGCAAGGAGTTCAGAGATGCCAGGAGCCCGACTGTGGTTCTCTGCCGCAGCAACAGCGCTGCCGCCGCCTGCCAGCGCTCCGAGCATGCATGTAAAGCAGGGTTTGAAAGGCGAGCGTTTCTCTCTCCCCTTATACAAACACGGTCAAGCCATATTTACCGAGCCACTTTGGTATTCGAGCCCTACCTCTTTTTGGCCTAGGGAAGCTTTCATGCAAGTGGAAGACGACTTTCTCCACAAAGTGCTGAATGTTACTGTGCTCGGGTCCTCTAACAAACACCATCCAGTCGTGGGTAAAGCCCTCCACGGTGGGTTTCTTCCTAACCTGGGCTCGGTGCCCCAGCTCCAGTTTCACCTGAACAGCACACTGAGGGGAGAGAGGCAGAGGCACCATGAGCAGGCAGGCGAAGGCTCGCACTCCGCGCCAGGGCAGCGCGAACACACCAATGCACAAAGGAAAGGGCCATAGCACAGGGGGTGCGGGGAGGGAAGCCACTGAACGTGCGTTCCCCAGCCCGGGCGAGGCGAGCGGCTCGGCTGTAGCGGAATGCAGCCTCGAAGCAGGCAGGCAGACCCTCCAGCCCGATACAATGGGCGAGCGGGGCGGTAGAGCCCAGGCGAAGCACACGGGGAGGGGGAGCCAAGAGGGAGGGAGGGAGGAACCCCATAACGCTCTCCAGGAGCGAGCCGTGGATCGCTCCCGACATGGCACGTCCACAGCCAGGAGCTCCACTCGGCAGCGTGCGCAGCCAGCTCGCAGGGGCATCACACTGAAAACCGGCAAGGTGCGCAAGGGGGGGGCTGGGGATGAAAACAAAAAACAACCCCCATGCAGGAATGAACACGCCAGCGGCTGCTGTGCCAGAGCGCAGGGCTCGGTGGAAAACCGGGGGAGGGGGGCACGCCACCAGCGGGCTCTGCACACACACATGCATAAGGGTAAAGTTACTGGGGTGCCGCTGGCTGTCAGAGCCACTCCGGCGAGAACGCACCATCCTAAGCGGCGCCTCCTGCGCGGAGAGTCCCCTGTACTGTACTCACTGCTCCCCTGGCTGCGGCGGCTGCGGCTGCAGAAATATGGCTGGGTTATTATTCGCCTCCACCGTCTCTCTCCCTCTCTGGCGGTGTGTGTGCGCTTCATGCAATTGCAAAGCGAGGCGGGGAGGGAGGGAGAGCGAGAGGAAAAAGCCACACACTTAAAAAAAAACCCAACACACCAACCTTTCGCTAATTGGAAGCACTAAACGGTGTCTGGGCAGCGCAGGGAGGAGGAGGAGGAGGAGAGGAAAGGGAGGGGAGAGAAGGGGGTTGTATGTACTTACCGAACTGGCCATGCCTGGGGGCCCTGGGGTTTGCTGGGGTATGTACTTTTGTCCCCCACCCCACCCCCTGAGCTCTAATTCATGAAGAGGCGGATGTGACTGAGGGTGCGCACGGGAGAGGAGGGTAGATGGCGGACATTCTCTTTCTTTCTTTTCCCCCTGTCTCTTTCGCTCTCTCTCTTATTAAACTGAGCCCCTCGCAGCAGCTCCAGCGGCTGAGTCTGAGAGACTAGAGCATGCGCCCTGCACTTCCAGCCTGACACTGAGACAGACATAGCCCTGTGCAAAGAAGGGAGGGAGAAAACGAGGGAGAGCGTGGAGGGAGAGGTAAAAAGAGCCAATCAAACACAGTAACTAAATCGCTAACCCCTCCGGCCGCCCTCACACTCTGATCATTGCCATCACAACCCCAACGCATTACTTAAAGTAACAGGTTACTGAGGGGAAGGGGCGGGGGACCCCAGTCCCCCAGCCCCGAGTAAACGACTCAGGTCTGACAATAAAAACCGGATTAAAACTGCTGGAATGTAACCAATGTCTAGAGCCTGAGCCCCCAGCAGTAAAGCAGGGGACGAGGAGGAGACACTGTACGACGGAGGCGAGCTACTTGAGTTTGTCTGTCTGGGAATTTCAGAGGGATCTTTGGTTTCCACAAAGATAAGAGGAGAAAGGAAATGAAGAAAATCAAAACCTTAACTTTCGTGAAGAGTTTTTCAAAGGAACACAAAAGGCAGCCTAACGTCACTTGAAATCGCCTTTTTAAAACTTGTGTGGAGACAAAAAGGAAGGAAGGTTAAAAATATGCCTGGTTTTTAAAGTATCTAAAAACACACCGCTAATCGTAAAGAGCCTTTCCCAAGACTGATCCTTAGGATTGAATGAGGGTCTCTCTGCGGCAAGTACTTAAAAACGTCTCCTAAGCGCCTTAATGATAGAAATGTACAAGTTATCAGTTTCTAAGAGGTAGGGGCTGTAAACGTGTTTACGTTGTATTTTGGTAGTCTGCTGGCTTGCATCAGGACTAGTAATAACCCTCTTACGAACACGCGGTGCAACTAGCAAGCTTAAAATAGTAAATAAAGTTAATACTTAATTGATATAAATTGGATTACGGTCTTTATGCGCTTTAGTAACAGCAAATGTAATCCATGTAAGAGTACTAATCTGGCTAAATTCCTGAGTGACAAACAACTAGTTGCTCCCCGAACTCTGCTGACACAAATGTTCAGTTCTTGCTATTATCTGATCGATGTCGGGAGAACCGGCGTGGGGGGAGGGCATTATTTCATTTCATGAAAGAGGTCAGATAACCATGGTCAGATAACCATTACCACACTGTAGCAATCAGGCAACACAATAAGCGACTAAGTGTAGTAAAAGTAGAATGTGAAAAAAAGGAGAAAACAGTTTTCTAGAGTTGGCAAAATAAAACCTGTAAAAGAAGCCAACATAGATCTGTCTCTCCCTGATCCAAAACTGATTTTTCTAATCTATTAAAACTATGGTAACAAGAAGCAAAGGGCAACAAAATTTCCGTAATCTCTAGAGCCCTTTTAGAGCCGGATCAGAGGGACCTGTTGATCTCCTTTTTGCCAAACCTGACCAACTTTAAAGGTCCTGTAACTTTTACTCTAGTAAACAAGAAAATTTTACTTCAGCGTATAAAGCTATCAACCCAACAACGTTCTGGTTCTTAACAGGGAACTCTTAAACAAGTATTTTAAAAGGTACTCTTCAGTAAAATTTGGAAAAAAAATTCCCGTGCTACAAAGTTTTTAAAATTAGCTAGAAGTGTTTCCATGGGTTTTTTCACTTAAAATACCGAAGGTATATTGCCTGTGGTGTTCTTCACCTAAGCATTGGAGGATACTGTATAAAACTTGGGAAATTGACTAGAAAATGACTGAACAAAATTAAAACTCATTAGTTTTCTTTGCCAACCTTAAAAGAAAGCCAAGAAGTAAATAAGCAGCAGAGATAACAAAATGCAAATTTATTTATGTTCAGTCTTTTCTGTTTAGCTACAGAAGGGTCTGTTCTTCAAAAGCAACACAATTAACTTTATTCAGGTCAATAACACCTTTGAAGTCAATGGATCTGCTTGCCTGAATGAAAGTACTGAGATAGATACCTCTCTACTGAATCAGGCTTTGCAATATTATTTGTTATATAATATTTGTAACATGTTTTTAAATATGATTTTGATCCAGTATGTCTCTAAATTTTTTTCAAATTGCAACATATTAGGGGGCAAAAAGATGTTCCTCTTTTCCATTGATGGATCCTGTACGCTTCCTGGTCTAGAAGATCTGCAATGAAAATAAACAAGACAACCCAGTGAATTAAATAAATTATTAAAACAAACAATGGCGGGGGAGGGGAAGAACTTTCAAAGCCCCAGCTTCCATCCGGGCTATTCAAAAAACCAATATTTCTGGAGATCTATAATTTACAGTCCGTAAAAGCCCTTTTAGGAAACAAAGCAAGGAAATATACTATGGATGCATTAAATGAACAATTATCACAAATGATGGTGGGTAGCAGAGCATAACAATTTACGTTTATTTAAATATTGTTTGCAGTGTTATTAACTGGTTGCAAACTTTATTTTAAAAACTAGATCTTTTCTATAGCACATATAATAGAGAATGATTGTTCAGGGCACATAAATAGGCCAATGCGATTTCCAATGAGCTTCCTGTTCACAAAGCTTTACTCCGTTTGCTGATAACCTTCTGAATTGTATCTACCATAATAGTATTTTACCATCTATAAAGTTCTAACTTACCCTGTTTGAGTAATGAAAATAGTAATTGATTAGGTCAACAATGCAAAAATTAAACCCTTATAGTCTGGTATTTTTTAATGACCTATACCTAAAGCCAATTTGAAATATCCTCTCTGGGAATTATAAATAATACCAGCAGATGGCGCAATGTGACCTTGAGCTGACGTCCTCACTTGACCCCTTTTTTTAAAAAACCTAAATAATCTCATATCTTTTTTATCCTCCTCTATATTCAACCTGAGTTAACTACATGCATATCATTAACAATATTTTACAACAAAAGCAGTTAAATTTACCATATAATCAATATAAAGTTGAAACGAGTAGCTAAATAATTTATATTCATTATTTAAATTTTCACACACACATTTAGAAGAAAAAGTAAAAACAAAAACCACCACTTGCTAGCTTCATTCTAAAATGTACTAAAAAGATCTTTTAGCTGTAACAATGAAATAGTAAAATCAAGAGTCAAGAAGGAAATAGATTAGCTAAATCACACTAACCTCAATATGGATGATGATAATAATATAACATTTATTTATCAACAGTACATACATATTTTGAAAATTACACTCTTTGTACTGTGTTATATCTATTCTATACTGTTTGAAGAGCTGGATCAAGGGGTGAAAGTAACTTAACATTTCTTACAGGTACTGTCCTATTGCAACCCGGGTCTCTACCAGATCTTAAAACAGCTTCCTGCTGGCTTTTGCCACAGCTCACCCAGCTCTTACTGGAGCTGAGCACTGGCTTTTGCCACAGCTCAGCCAGCTCTTACTGGAGCTGAGCATCAGGGCGCACCCACTTTCACCCTCTGGCTGGATCTAGCAAGCCATCCTAGAAAGAACTCTCCCTGATATCGGTAAAGTGCCGAATTCGGCAACCTGCCTATAATGCCAGTGATCCTTGCAAGAAAGAGACTACTCATGTGAGTAAGAATTCTTAAGCCAATGAATTTGATGAGGCTTTACATGAGTACAATGGCCCATTTGATTA